GTAATGATTATTTAATCCATGTTCCTGCAATTCAGCATCATGAGGAATGAAGGTCCCAGTGTCCCAAAAACATCCTCCTCCGATTCTGACTCCAGAAATGCCAGCGTGAAGGTAGACAACCTCAGGCTGGAGCTTACAGACACCAGGCTTTCTGAGTAAGAAGCAGCTTCATATACAAGCTGATGTTAATTGGCCACTCCCTCCTTTCACACACATCTTCTTCTCACTCCTTTGCACAGCTTCCTCCTCTCCTATGAGCGAGCACAAGTAGATGTCCAGGAGTAGATTGTTCAGGAGTCCAAATCTGCGTAAAGGAAACTAAATGACCACCACCTTATTCATCACTTGTGAATCTGAATATTTGTAAACAGATTAAAAAGGGAAAACTGCCTTTTAGCCAAACAAAGTAATGTTAAATCCCTCCTCCCCGGAACACTCATACATACACGTACATGTCCTTCCATGTCAAAATGTCACACATGCCCCAAAGAGGGAGAGACAGGAGATAAAAGCTGACTGGGTGGGTTGACTCAGATCAAGATTCATTGGATGAAGGAAAGTATTAAACTTTTGTGCACACAGACTCAGACTTTAAGGCCAGAAGGGACCATTCATGATCATCTAGTCTGACCTCCTGCACATTGCAAACCACAGAACCTTGCCCACCCACTCCTGTAATAGGCTGAGTTAATGAAGTCTCACATCATGACTTAAAGACTTCCAGTGACAGAGAATCCACCATTTACACTAGTTTAAACATGTAAGTGACCCGTGACCCATGTTGCAGAGGAAGGCAAAAAAAACCCCAGGGTCTCTGCCAATCTGACTTGGGAGGAAATTTCTTCCTGACCCTAAATACGGCGATCAGTTGGATTCTCAGCATGTGGGCAAGACCCAGCAGCCAGACCCCCGGGAAAGAATTCATTGTAGTAACTCAGAGCCCTCCCCATCTAGTGTCCCATCACTGGCCATTGGAGATATTTGCTAATGGCAGTCGCAGATCAGCTAGATGCCACTGTAGCCAATCTCCTCATACTATCCCCTCCGTAAACTTATGAAGCTCAGTCTTGAAACAAGTTAGGGAGCAGTGAGGGCAAAAAAACCTTTGGAAGGCTTGTACCTTGTACCAGAACAACCACACAACAAACAGGTACAAGCTTGGCATTTCTGAAATATTCAATGACATCTGTCACTCTATCTTTTCCAATTGTGTCGGGAAGTACCCTATCAAAGGCAGTGACTCCTGGTTCTTGCACATTAACATTGGATCGGTAAGTCCTTTCTTCCTCCCACTATGTAGCATGCTACCTCCATCCAGAGAACAAAACAATTTAGTAGCTAATGAGAGCTAGATTTCAACAAGAAGTTGTCATCGTTGCTACACAACAAAAACGGGCCAAAGGATCAAGCACAACAGTTACAGTTTAATGCCATAAAAGGCTGTCATGTGGAAACTTGTTTCGGTGTAACACTGCCAGTATCTTGGGCCTCATCAAAATTGAGTAAACAAAACTCTTGACCTCAGCTGCAAACATGACAGCATTAGTCATCTGTAGGCCGACTGTGGCATCATATTTATTGGAGTGGGTTAAGGACAAAAGGCTTGGGTGGGATTAACATCAATGATGTATTTGAAACCATCAGACTTTTTAGCCTTGATGGACACAGTCCATCATATCCAGACAGCATCACGCATCACACAGCAGTCTTGCCTTTCATTCAGAACTGATGGTTGTTTCAAATCCATTAGCACTTGGAATTATACCTACCCTTGGGTCAACATGATGTTGCTCTTGTAAATGAAAGCTTGTAGGACATTAAAGTTAAGATATTCACAGATCACAAGAGAAGTCTTAGCTGTGTTAGGGGGATGCAAACATTGTTAACTTCACCGTATGTGGTCCATTCTCCACAGTCCCACTTGAGGAACAGAAGTGCATGCTTAACGCTCGGCACATAATTCACTGCTGTCCTGAACAGGACTGCTGTCTTGAAATCAGGGTGCATACTTAAAAAAAATCCTAACTCAAACATTGTATGTGGGGGCTGAACATTGAAAGCCTACTTTCGATAGGCCTGGCATAGCAGGAAAGCCCCACTGTAAGTCTTCTAATCATGAGGTTTTCTAACTTCTGCCCGGTTAGGGTGGTGCCAAGGTTACCGATATCCTCACAGCCCAAGACTGTGTTTTGCCATCATGACTGGAATAATTAAAACTAGGAGACATTCTAAAGCTCCATTCAGATTCCTGAGGCATTGTTGCAACATGAAAACAGATTATTTGGTTAGAAACACTCCCATCTCCCCAAACTTTGAGTCTATTGTAAGACCCATAAGATTTCTAGTGTAGAAATGCAGCAGGATTCTATACTGGGATGGAAAGGAGCTAAGAAAACCCATCCAGTATAAATGGATAGCAAGTAGCTGTGAAGTGAAGACTGTGGGATGTGCATTTGCTGTGGAATCAGGACTCTGGCTCCTGATAATGCCCTTGTGACAGCAAATCCACAGTGTAAGATCTAAATCAATCTTTTTTACATAGTCACATACACAGTGGCATCGGTGCCAGACTACTCCAGAAATCATGATGTGGTGCAGGGGCGCAGTGGAGGCTAGCTCCCCCGCAATGTAAATACCAGGGAATGGATCTCGGTTTCCGCCCTCCGGGTGGTTTCCATCCCCATGACTCTTGCAGAGGCGAGAGCAGGCACCAGCTATGTTTCCCCCCACGCACCCGGGGAGGGGGCAGAGACAAGAGCAGAGCGGCAGCAGGGGCTGGAATTGCCACCATGATGCAGGAGATTGGGCCAGCCACTAGGGAGCAGAAGGGACTACCAGCAGAGACACCCACAGTGTGGGAGGGGCCAGAGCACATGGACCAGCCCCCAGGCTGGGGTACCAGCACCTAGGTGGGTGACAGGGGACGTCACCGAGAGGGAGGGGAAAGCACTGGGCACCAGCTGCCCAGGAATGGCAGTAGAAACTGCCGGGATGCCCCTTCCCCGCCTGAAGCCGGCATTCCCCCCAGTCTCAATAGCTCCCCTCACTCCCTGTCGTAGCTCTCTGTCCCCAGTGTGTTGTACGGGAACTGAGACACAGAGGCTAAGTGATATGCCCAAGGACACACAGGAAGTCTGTGACAAAGCAGGTTATTGACTGAGGGGCTCCTAAATTGCAGGCTAGCCCCCATACCACCAGATCCTCCTTCCTCTCATTTTAATGACAGATCAGGAGAGAAACAACACACTCATCCCCCTAGAATTCCGCTCAAAGTTTGTTTAGTTTCTCTTTGCTTTCTCTTTGGATTTTAAAAGCTGTTCTTTGATTTAATGTCTCCCAATTTACCTTCCCGAATGCAAAAGGGGTGACTATGTCCATGCCATACTTTCAAGCTACAGGACGGAATGCAAGAATTCAGAAGTGGGCTGTGGCAAGTGTGTGACAGAAGGGCTTAGGTAGGTACAACAGAGGGATCCCAAAGTAAGTGGAGCTGTTGCTTCAAATATAGCATCAGTGTTTCGGATGTCTGGGACTCTGCTACGAAGCTGGTCGGATTCATTCCTCACAACTGATTAAACACCGATCTGATCCAGATTGTCAGGACACTGTTTATATACCAAAAGAATCCAAAGTGACAAGACACGTTAGGAGAGAAATGATCCCCTTCCTCCCAAATTAAAAACAACCACTTATACACGGAGACGCAAAATGCCTTTCGCACCAGGAAATGACTTGATATGGTTTATGGTCTGCGTGGTGGCAAGATTAGGGTCTACAATCAAGTGAACCATTAAAAGCAAGATTAATTGAAACCTTTCAACCAATGTTAGCTACTTACTGCTCTGTTTAGAGTGCCAGCGTTGTGGCCAGCCAAATCTTTGTAAGAATAGCCATACATGGTGAGTTTCTGAATTCTTCCTGTCCTCTGTCAAATGTTTTATTAGACAATAAACTGTGAATTATAAACACAAGCAGAGAGCAGCATTTGGAAATGCTACATGAGCAAAAGACCATGGATGGCTTTATAGTCTTGCAATACAGTAACAATTGGATTCAGAATGACAGGTCATCAGTGAGGTAGCTCAACAATAAGGGATATAACAGTTTTCACATCATAAGGTACAGAGACAGAGTTCAGAGGAAATCTAAGGCTTCAGAAAGTAAATGGTTCATCTTCCAAAAGAATAATCTAGTGACAAAAGCAATTTAGAATCCATCCAGGCATACAAGTAAATTTTTAAAATAAATGCTGAAACACTGAAACCAATGTACAACAAACTGTTGTTGTTAATGAATCACTGCTATTCAGCTATTTAGCAGGAATTATGTTCTTGCCTGGGGTTACCCTGGTAACAATAAGAAAAGGAGCACTTCATCGGATGCTGTAGCTCACGAAAGCTCATGCTCAAATAAATGGGTTAGTCTCTAAGGTGCCACAAGTACTCCTTTTCTTTTTGCGAATACAGACTAACACGGCTGCTACTCTGAAACCTGGTAACAATAACTCCTTCCTTGACAAATACACTTTATAAAAGTACTACTACATCTAACAAAGAAGCAAACATCACAGCCTTTAATTTCCCCTCTCAGAGGACTTAAAGGGACAGGACTAAAATTTCCTGGGCTTTCACACAACAGCAGTTTCCGTAGCCTGCTATTTCTCTGCTCTCACTGCACTCTGCCAGTTTTCAAAGGTTATTCTGCCTCTGCATCTGATAGAAATATCACCAAATGCAAGATACTGTAGATGGAGCGGCTGCCTCTAAATTTTGGTGGCCAGCAGAAAGTGTCTAGAAGATCTAGATTGACTATGCCTAAAAGAGTTAAATGTACCAAGGCAGAAACTTTTGTCAATAGAATTTTTTTTAAGGGCGAGAGGAATACGATACTCTTCAATTACAAACTTTTCGGACAGATACTTGTGCTCTGCATTAGTTGTATTGTTAAAGTTCATTGCATCCCCAAGATTACAGCAATCCATATCAAACACCAGCAGGCGATAAGGTAGCGTAATTTGTTTCATAAAGTGTTTTCTTTTTAAAAAAAAATTTTTATAAGACACACGTATTTCACGATAAATGATCAATGATACATGAAAAAAGACTGCACTCCCAAACCTGGTGTTAAACATAGATTGTACAATATATGGTAATGTACACAGATATACACATTGCTATGGAAACGGGAAGCACATGACACCACACAACGAAAATGAAAATTCAAGCTTGCTTTGAGATATCTCCAGAATTAAAGTCAGAATTTGAGGAAAATTGAATTTATTTTTGGAAACTGATCATGTGCTCTGTTATCATATGTTCTGTTACAATCGGCATGAAAACAGTCACCCTTCATTCACTAACCATGTGAAAACAAACGCAGATACACAGAAAAAAGCTGTGAATCATTTTCACTACTACAAATACATTTTACCTGAAACTGATAACATTCCTTTGGTTGTTTTTAGTACAGAATGATGGAGAGTCACAATTTCTTAGTTCTGTTTTCCTGCTTCTCTTTCTTTTCCAAAGTCTTTTAAGATCGACGCTGAGGATAACGTAAACTGTGAATTCTTAAGGATCCAACATAGCCTTTGTATGACAAACTGTTAAATGCAAAAAGAAATATGAATATCACTAGAGACATACAGGAAACTTGCAGGCTTCTTTCAAACCACATGAAGAAAAATACCTTTGCTTGCAGTCATGTGAAGTCTCCTCCATGAACGTTTTTGCCTTTGCTACGCACACCCCACTTATCTACACCACTCTAGATCAGAGCTCCATTTAAAAACCAGGATAAAAATATACGGCTGAGTAGCTAAAATAAATAACTAATGGCACCCCACAAAAAGGAACAGCCCCCATCCAGTGGAAGATCTGCAGATTTGTATCTACGCAGTGTAATGGTGAGGCCAAAATTGTTGGGCTATTAACAAGACGTAGCAAAAATTTACTATGTGCTTCCCCTTCCTCCAATATTAAAACAAGATGTTGCAAACACAACCAGCCTCTGTTGCTCTGAAGTATAGACCATATAATAGTAAGCTCTTAAAGTAACCCTCTCTACCTTCTGGCTTGATTTCAGCAGTTATATGTCACAGAAACCTCATTTGTTTTGATTGCAGTGAAGAGAGAAAAATAATTCTCATATGCATAACAAAACTTCTTCGGTAAACAGCACTTAATTAGATCTCATTAGAAATCCTGCATTCTCATCTGGCAAACCCCCTGGCAAACCCCCGCATACATACTGCCATGGGTCAGAGCTCCTTTTGTTTACTAAAGTACATCGTAAATAGTGTCCGCAAAAATACAGTAATGGCAACTGGCCAGTGGAAATATTAGATTTACTGAATGTGTAATATGCCACTCCAGTACTAAAAATGAAGGGATCATCTAGTTTATCAGGAGACGTTTTGAAGAGTGAACTGTAGGCTAGCTGGTGTTAGTAAGCCAGCAGGATGTTAACAGGTAGAGAACATTAACAGAGCTGAGGACTGGAGCATGGGACTGCATACTCTATGATTCCAAGACAAAGAAATGTTTCCACTTAAAGGTTTCTCAAGATCTTCCCTGAACAGACTAAAGCCTTTATAGAGAACCTCCTCGTGCAACTTCATTCATTCATTCGCTTGGATCCAATAGGTATGGGACCTACCATACTGTGGAATTCATCCCTGTAGCCCTATGCACCAAGCGGCATCACAGATCAAAGCAGTTTCTAACCAATACCTGATAAATCATAGTCCAGCCTGAGCTCTATAGCTACAGCATTTGAGAGGAGGGACCAGGTCTAACTTAGTCACTGTGGTAATAAATGAAAACGATTAACAAACTGAGATCTCAAATAGCCATTCAAGGGAAGCACTGCCTTCTTATTAGTAAAGGAGAAAATTTTCAAAGGTGCCCAAGTGATTTAAGCAACTATGTCCTATTGATTTTCAGTGGGAAGCAGGCCCATCCCTTGGGCACCTTTGAAAATTCTACCCAGACCAGTAGAAGTGTTCAAAGAAAGGGTGGGAAGCCCTGTCTTAGAGACCTCAACCATGTCCGAGATTACAAGATACTCAGGGACGTGGCAATTAAAGAGGACTACATGTCGGATCAAAACGTCTCGATAGCAGCTGCCAGGATGAACGGAAAGGGCCATTTGTCCAAGTCATCCTCAAAAATATTTAGAAATATTAGGAAGTTAGGGAGTCATAACTGGATGACTCATTTCTGGTCTCTTTTCCACTTTTAGATGGATTCCATAGCAACTCTTGGAGACAATGTTTTCTGGAGATAAATTATGGTGGCCACTGCTTTCACAGAGATGCCTCACTATTAGGGAAAGCTAGGAGGGCAAAATATCTCAGTGCCTCTTAACGCTGAAGAGGACAAAGAATAGGATTTCCAGACAGGCCACCAGAGAGCTTGAGAATAAGAATTTACTAGACTCCAGCTAGAATCAGGTCCAGATTCAGCTAAATCTCTATACACTAGATCTGGATTATGGCAGACATGAGTGGCTGTCAGGAGTTAAGAAGTCTCTCCCAAAGGCATTTATTACCACGCTCAGAACTGTGGGGAATGGATTCTAATAATCCTATCAACTGTCAGGATGTGGGGTATTCTCTCAGCCCCAAAGAGTCACAGCTGTTTTTGTTTTTACAAATAATATTTTTATGACTGTTACCACTGAGTGCATTATTTTCACTTAAGTATATTATAGGCCAAGACAAAGTTCAGGTCTCTTGAGTCAAACTAACAACAGACCCAGCGGGGCTTGATTCTCATTTACACCAAGGCTATTTTACACTTCTCTGGCAGAGTAAAGGGGCCTTCAAATGGAAGGAAATTACATTTGTACCCACTCTAATGCCCCCTCTGTGCTGCCATTGTGGTGTAAAACGGCTTGGGTGTAAATGAGAATCAAGCCCAGATGTTTTTAAAGACAAGGGATTTTGAGGAATAAAGCAGCGAACAACATATCAGGAAAGCCTGAGGTGTTGTGTCTGGAAAAGAAGGATGAAAAAGTATAATTGATGATGCAGTTAGTGTACACAATGGATATAAATATGAGAAAGGGCTTTAGCTGGGAGAGAGAGAGAGAGAAAACAAATTATTATTACAATTGGTATGGTAGGTCTTGATTGATGGAACCTGGAGTGTGACAACCCAACAGCTGATTTGTGAATCCACAGTGACAGAATAAGATAAGGTGGGAGCAAGATTAATCTGCTCAGGGCAGGATATTTCTTTCTAGTCACACCAAGGTCAGATCAGGACAAGAGCTGCTGAAAAAAGTATCTTATTCTGCTTAAAGAGTCAGAATATGGAGCTTGACTGTGTCAGAATCTTTTAAAGGAGACACATTACAAACCCTTCTTCACTAGCTGGGACGGGGCTATGGATATAACTGGTATGCTTATCTCTGCTAATGGAAAAGCCCTGCAGGACTTCTGGCTGGCGTGCCTTAAAGCAAGAGGATAAGAAAAACAGAAGCAGCTTTTAGCAGTTTTATGTCATTTGATAAAATAACCAAGTCACATTTCTTCCTGATGAATGCAGAACCGTTGATCGCCTGGGAACTTGAACCGAACTGGAAAGTATCTTTGTATCTTCAAAGGAAATTTTGCACAAGATTGTACAGTCATTCATTTTATTCACTTTCTTAGATCTTTCTTGATATATGTGATGTTAAGGCCTCCAAGGATTTTTCAGCTCTTCAGTGTCAGCTTCCAGTGCAAAGCTATGAGAAATCTGCAGCTCACTTTAGCAAGCTCTGTCGGCTTCCTGAAACAGGAACAGCGTACAGGCAACTGCAGCACCAGCTACAAAACGCTGTACCATCAAGGAGTACCCTCTTTGTTTTAAATTTTGCTTCATGCACCCGCCACTGGATTTAGTCATTTGAGTGCAGCTAAACTAATGCATGGCAGGCTGGCAACTCATCAAACTCCACAAAAAGAAATAAAGAACAAGATGCAAACCTGGACAATGGATTCAGGTACACACGGTTCTGATTCTTCAGCTGAAATACAGAGCAATTTTTTTTAAAAGTACCATCATTTCACCAGGAGCAGGTCTCATAAAAATAAGAGAAATTAAAAATGAAAGAAACATATATGGTAACATAGTTCACTCCTCAGTCTACGACCATCCCCTGCCGTATAACCTTAAGTGCTTTGTCCAATCGAGTTTTGAGTCAGGCACTCACGGGGGTTTTCGCCACTACTTTATAAAGCTTGTGTAACACACCTCACTGTCAGGAAACTGTTTTCCAAAAACCCATTTTAGACGAAAGGTACGCCTGACCAGAGATGTGCTGCCAAAATGTTAACAGGGGGCTTCCCTAAAAATGTTAGCCTTAGAGGTTCATGTAATGTCCCCTAAGCAAAAAACCACCCCCCAAACCAACAGCCTGCTCACCGACCCAAATCCACCTATTTATTCCCTGCTCTTCCCTAACCCCTTAACAAACCAGAGGCTGGGAGTGGGCAACAGGGCATGGAGCATTTGGGTGATTGCCTGTTCTGTTTATTCCCTCTGGGGCACCTGGCATTGGCTGCTGTGGGAAGACAGGATACTGGGCTAGATGGACCTTGGGTCTGACCCAATCTGGCTGTTCTTAACCATCAATTCCATACTCGTATTTCCCCACAATCCATTAATTACATTCTCCCCCGCAACCATGAATCTTTCAACACCTCCCCTATCCTTGTGCCCTACAGCCCACCATGCTCCTCCTTCCAAGCACATGTCCAATTTCTTCCACATACAAGATTTTTTTTTTTAAGATAGAGTTGACTTTGTCAGAATCTTTTAAAAAGGAGACACCATAAACCAGGCTTCGCTAGCTGGAACAAGGCTGGGGATGGTATGATTTTTGCTGCTAATGGAAAAGTCCTATAAAACCTTCTGGCTCATGTGCATTAAAGCAACAGGATAAGAAAAAGAAAGTAGCTTTTAGCAGTTTTGTGTCCATTTGACAAAATAAGCAAGTCACATTTCTTTCTGATATATATATGCAGAACTTTTGATCGCCTGGGAACACTAACTGAACCTGAAGATATTTTCTTACCTTCAAAGGAAATTTTGCACAAGATTGTACATTTTTTCCATCTCCCAAACCATCAATCCTTCAATCCCACCCCTATTCTTCTACCCTTTAACCCACCATGCTACCCCTTCCACATGTCCAATTTCTTCCACACAAGCCATCTGAAAATTCTGGCTAAATGAGAGTAAGGAACATCCTACTCCGGAAATCAAGAGAAACATGAAAGCTTCTGTAAATGAAAACGCCACCAATTAAGATGTTTCCACACCACTGACTATTTCATGTATCTCCACAAATACAAGAAAATGATCAACAACTGAGGAAAATACCCACAGAACAAAATTAGTTGAGAATTAAAACATTCCAGACAAAAAGAAAAAAAGCCCACAAGAGCACTGACCCCTCTTGACACCTACATGAGGGTCTGAAAAGCAAAAGTATGGAGCTATGCAGCGACGACAATGAACTACTGTCTAACTGGTCGCTGAAAATTGCAGACAGGTCTTTGGTGACATTGTATAAGCAAAAGTTTGTATCTGATAATTATCATGAACTGAAGAAAGTCCATCTGTGTTGTGAATGAAAAAGACTTTCCTTTTTTTCCTCCAGAAAAGAAGCCTCGCTATTCTTGTTTGTTCAGTTTACACGGAACATGTCCATTTTCTCCACATGCCACTGCTTCTCATTCAGGAAAATGGCAGATGCCAGTCACCTGGCTTCAAGTTTTCAAATACCAAAAGCATGGTCCTGTCAGAATGTTGCATTGCAGATGTGTGACGTCTCCTTTCGTTCAGATGATTTTATTAAATTAAGTGGCATTTTGCATTTCCACCAATGTGGAACATAAGAGCTTTAAAACCTACAAAAAGCTTAAGAATGACATTTACAACACATTAACAAAAGAAGACTTAAACCCAAAAGAGTAAGGTACATTTATTCCACTAATCCCAGGCACAAAAGAATTTACTACTTACATTCCCTTTCCAAAGATCTAGTTTCAAAGATGTATGACAACTCCTATATTATTCCACCTATTTTTAAATCAAGATTGGATGTTTTCCTAAAAAATATGCTCTCGTTCAAAACAGGAACTAATTCAGGAAAGTCCTAAGGCCTGTGCTGTAAAGGAGGTCAGACAAGATGATCACAATGGTTTTATAACCTATGAATCTACTCTTCTTATAGGAAAAGAAGCATTGACATACGGCACCAAACTAGTGGTCCATCTGTTCCAGTATCCCATCGCTGCAAGTGGTCAATTCCAGGTACTAGTTAATGGCCAGTTTCTTCTTCTTTTGTTAGTAATTAAAAAACAAAAAAGATGCCCTAAAACATGAGGGTTTATATCCCTATTTTAAATACCATCCAATGCCAAATGGATGTCCTCATAAACGATATCTATGTCTAATTCTTTTAGATATTTACATAAGTCATACGAATGGGTCATCTGACTCCTACAAAGATCTAGGATTCAATGTTATATTGTGGCAATGCCTATCGCAGGTTAATTATGAGCTGTATGAAAATACTGCCTTTAATACGTTTTAAATGGGTTGTCTTTCTGTTCTTTGAATGCTACTTGTTCTTCTACTATAAGAAAGGATAAATCAGGAGCATCTGATTTACTTTCTGTATACCATTCATTATTATGCATACCTCTACCATATCCTCCTATTCTTCTCCTCTAAATTAACAGTCCCAGTCTTGACAGTCTCTCTTTTTACAGAAGCCTGTCTGTGAACTCCTATTTCTGCCATATCTTTAATGAATGCTGTGTAGTTGTAGTCATGTCGGACTCAGGATATTAGAGAGACAAGGTGGGTGAGGTTATATCTTTTGTTGAACCAACTTCTGTGGGTGAGAAAAACAAGCTTTCAAGCCACACAGTGCTCTTCTTCAGGGATGGGAAACGAACTTCCAGCATCATCACAAAATACAAGGTGGAACAGATTGTTTAGCATAAGTAGTTAGCACATATTGTAAGGGACCATTCAAGCACCCCTGCAGTCATAGGACAAAAAGATGGGGTTAGTGGGCCACAGGTTGTTGGAATAAGTCATAAATCCAGCGTCTCTGTTCAGTCCATGATTGTTAGTGTCTAGCAGAGTAATAAATTTAAGCTCCCAGGCTCATCTTTGAAAGTGTTGTGCAGATTTCCTTTGAGGACGTGGGCTGATAGGTCAGATCTAGAGTGATCGCTTTGTGAAAAGGTTCACCCGCAGGTGATAGGGTGTTTTTGTTTTTTATTGTTTTCCTGTGCGAGTTCATTGGAGAGCGTAGTGATATGCTCCGAGGAGAAAGTCCGGGATACACACCTTAACACACACAAAACCACATTCACCGAACATGGGCACTCCACCAGAGAAGTCGTTCACATTGTGGAAGAGGCCACTCAAATACCCTGAGAGAACCTGCTTCAACACAGAAATAAAACCCTCTCTGACCACACCCCTAGTTGTCACGTACCACCTCACACTGGAATCCATATGGGATAGCATCAAAGAACTACAGCCCATACTCTATGGGGACACCATCCTGGAAGAAATCTTTCCTAAACCCCCTCTTCTGGCCTTCAAACACCCCCCCCAACCTCTCTAAGCTCCTCATTAGAAGCAAGCTCCCCACAGACCAGGACCCGAAAACAACTCAAAGCATCATCAGACCCTGCCAGAACAACAGATGCCAAACCTGCAGACTTATCTCCACTGCTACAATGATCAACACACATCAAGATCCATGGGTCCTATACATGCCTATCACAAGATGTGGTGTACTTCATCCAGTACACTGAACGCCCCAGCAACTATGTGGGTGAAACCGGACTATCTCTACACTCCAACAAACTCTCACAGGAAAATGATAAAAGACAAAAACACCCTATCACCTGCAGGTGAACATGGTTCACAAAATGATCACTCTATATACATATTTGTAGTTTGAAATGCAAAACATACAACTTTAGAGTTCATTTTAATGTTTGAAGCATCTGGGTTTAAAGAAGCAGGGTATATTGTTTGGAAATAAATGCTTAAGAACTTTGCTACTTGCGTTCATAAAACCCAAAGATATCTTGAAATGCTACGTGTATGTATATAAATATGTGCAGACCTATATTCAACCTTGGGCTGAATTTTTGGGGGAAAGTTTCACCGAAACAAGTTTAGCTGTTTCAGAGAATGAGATTAAGAAAAAAGATGTTTTGTCCATTTAAAAAAAATTGTAACTGTTTTGTTGAGATATTCTAGCTTCTCCCTGGCTTTGCAGCAGGGACTTGAAATTTGGTAAGGGATTCCCCGCCGTATCTGGGGTGTGCCTTTTGCTGTCCCCAGGAAATCCACCCACATTTGGCCAAGTTATAACTCTCTGAAAATCTCAGTTTGCACGTGAGCAGTAGAAACTTGTTCGAATTTGGCAGCTAAATTCTTTGGAGATCCTATCTACACTGAGCATGTTCCATGCCAGGGCTGCGGTGGCTGAGCCGGATTTTGCCTGCAATTGCTCCGTCTGGCAGCCAGAAATCACTGTAGTGTCAGGCACCATAACTAAGAGTAAGGATTCAGAGTAACAGCCGTGTTAGTCTGTATTCGCAAAAAGAAAAGGAGTACTTGTGGCACCTTAGAGACTAACCAATTTATTTGAGCATAAGCTTTCGTGAGCTCACGAAAGCTTATGCTCAAATAAATTGGTGAGTCTCTAAGGTGCCACAAGTACTCCTTTTCTTTTTAAGAGTAAGGAGACACTCTCTCCAGTGCTCCCAATGCACCCCATGCTGGTGGTACAAGCAGCAAGCAGGAGGAATCATCCTGAATGGAAGGCAGAGGGTGGGCAGCTGGGAGGGTCCTAGTTTCAGCCCCAAGAGGATTCCGTAACCTAGGCTAATATAAGGGTAGCTTTAGAAAAGATTGTACCTTTTCCTACATAGCCAAGGATTTTTCAGAAGTGTACCTGCCAATAGTCACAACTGCGAGCCAAATTCACACTTGGGCCTTGTCTACAGACAACTCCTACTGGTGCTGCCAACATTTCTGCTGGTAGTCCTGGCGGAAGCCTTAGTATGTGCAAGGTTTTGAGTGATTTCCAGCATTTTAACTGCTAGGGGTGAGATTTCGTGCTGCACCTCTGTGAGGCACAGCGCAGAACTTGCCACCAGCTGGAGAGGAGTTGGGTGAAGGCTATGGTGGCGGTGGCTTTAACCAATTTTGCTCTCTCCTAATCCTGGTCTGCTCTGGGGGCTGGAGAGGCAGCTGGCTTCCCTATGGACTGCGTGTTGCGACTCTGCCTTCAACACACCCCTCCTACCACCAACCCCTGGCACTCCCCCTACACCAGGGCTTGTAGTGGTGTCCTGAGAAGGCAGCCAGAGTTCTTTATTATGGGAGTCCTCTCCTGGCTGGAACCAGGGCTTTCAGACCTTCTTTGCGCTTGGACCCTTTCGCCCAGCATAAACGTGGGGCAGAACGGGGCTGAGGATCTCACTCGGTCATGTACACCACAGTCTGGGTTCGGGGTTAGTAGAGGTGTTAGAATTGCAGCCAATAATAAACGAGAAAAAAGTGACTGTTCAAGAAGCTGAACTGAAGAGGAGATATACTTTTGAATTCTCTAAATCAAAGATGCTGTCATCTCCAACTTAGCTGTCTCCTTTAGGGCCAGGCTGAGGATACCCTTGTTCACAATGAATAAGTACCTCGCCCAACAAATAGCCCCTTAGGCTAGTCACTGCGAACAAGGGTATCACTATTAGGCCTTTAGGCATTTGCAAGGTGACTGTCAGAGTATCTGGGCAAGTGTCAAGGACTCGTACCTGAGGCCTGCTTTTGAGGATCAAGGTTCCCTTTCAGAAGACACATCTCCCTCTGCCCCACTGCTTGCACTGGGGTCCTCCTTATTACGAGGGGCATTTCTTTCTCTACTTGATTCAGAGGGTGCCTTGGTTCTGGTCTTCTCTTTCCTTTGCTGCTGTTTTTCAAGCTTTGCCAGCTATTAACAAAGAGAAAGGAAAAGAAACACTTTAAAAATACAAACAGAATATTAGACAATAGCACCAAAAACTTCCTGAATTTGAACCTCTCTTCTGCAACTACAATAAAAACATTTTCAATGGTTCCTAACGTCACAAGAAAAGTGAATAATTTATAAGATGTGATCTCAGTGGATTGGAGGTGAATAGAAGAGCACTCATCCTCACGCTCTTCTTTTGGGAGTGCAGTACCTGGTCATTTGACAATATGGAAAGCTGATTAAAGACCTGGATCAAACAAGGAGGGAGAGTTTAATTTCAAAGCCCCGGATACACAAAGGGACTTAGGCCTCACAATGCTGAGCACTTCGGCACCTAACTTTTAGGCATCTAGAAAAATCACAGGAACACCACTGCAATCCACAAAGCCTAAGTTGGGAGATGGGTGCCTTAGAATGCTATCTGCAAAATCCAGTACACTGGGCAGGGAACCAACGAGGACAGGGCGGGTGTGCTAAAAAACCTCACCCTTTCTCAGAGACAGGCTCTTAAGTCCAGGCTACATGGAGGCACCTATCTCTGCTTAGTGAACCATGAATGGGAACCCACCTGGAGTCAGTCACACTCACTCTCTCTGGCCCAGTGACTATATAAGTATTTATTCACAGTGAAACAGTCATTGGACCAGAGAGACAATGAGAATGACTCTGTAGTCCAGAGGTTAGGGCGGCCACCTGGGAGACCCAGGGTCCAATCAGCCTGCTCCAATCACTCTTTCATTATCTATCCACAGTGGAACAACTTCAATGGGAGAGAGTGAGGGGGCCACACACCAGGATATCCCATAGCTCAGTGGTCAGAGCACTCTCCTGAGAGGTGGGAGACCCCTGGGCAAATCCTCTCCCGCCTTCTGGCAGAGGGGGGGTGGAACTGAACCTACGTCTTCTACATCCCAGGGGGGTGCTCTAACCACTGGGTTAGAAGTTAAAAAGTGGGTACTACCACCACCTCCTCCTCCTAGATTTGAATAGGATACGATCCGGTAGACGGCCTCTGAGCATGCTTACCAGATCAGACCCCATACTTGGGTTAGGCGGCCAACAAATGTCTTCCCTGGCCTGTGAATCACGCCGGGGCTTCGGCAGGAGAAAGGTGCCTGGACACCTAGAGGGAGGGAGCAGCGCACATGTCCAGAGGCAGAAACTTAGGCACTAAGGGAAATTTTACCCTGAAAACTTAAGCACCAAGTGAGTTTAGATGCCTACAGAATTTGGCAGGAGTTCTGTGAATTGCGGGGGAGCCAAACCCCAGACATAGGTGCCTACCCCCAAACTTAGTTGTTTAAGTCTGGGGTTTAGATGCCTAAGTCCCTTTTGTGGATCTGGGCCAAAGCTCTTGTAGAATTCCAGTGGAAACTCACCAGCTGTACAGCCTCGTGTTTTAGAGGGGCTTCATAATTTCAGCCATTTCTTATTCTGTAATGTTATGACTAAGGCAGAGCCAGGAACCAAATAAAGACATCCCGTGTTCTGAGACCCAGCCTACACGACCATGCTAGAGGGGAATGTTATCTTTACAGAGAAAAACATTTGTATGGTCCAAAGCGAGGAGAACAGAACACCCAATTTCAGCCACATCAGAGAGAAATCTCTGCTAACATTGTAGACCTAATATTTAAAAGGAAAATAATGAAGAAATCATTTCTCAATGTAGAAGCCTTCAACCCAATGTGAAAAACCAAATTAAGTTGAATGTCGGTGTCACTTTGGCATTTATCTCCCATTTTTCAGAGAAGCAGCCTGCAACACATTTCAGGTATGTTGCTTATCAATAGCTACCCTACTGACTAGAGACACTTCATGATTTTAGTTTATCAGTTGATTTGATTTTCTGTAATCTACTGTAATTTATCAAACTGCTTTTTCCAATTTCTTCTGGGTTAATGTGTTAGCTGCATATCATCATTTCAAGGCCATCAGGACTTTTTGGGAATGAAATCAACAGAGAACAAACTGAGCTAGTTTACGTGTTACTATTCAGCAAGCTGAGAAACAGCTTCTTTTTCCTGTCTGAGATGGTATAGTGTAATAGTTTAATTCATGCCATACAGTATATTGATAAGTCATGAGGACAAGTATGTAATATTTCGCCCAATGTATATGTATCACCTATATGTACAACAGTCTAAATCCCATTATATATTATTATAAATTATATAACATGCGCATTATTTTCCCAGCAACACTACAGATAATACAGCAAGTGAATGTTTTAGGTGATAATGGAAAATTGGTACATTTGCATCCCAGGAAATCTACGGTACATTTGCACTGCAAAAACCAGCCAAACAAAAAACCACGGCAGCGAGTCTCAGAGCCCATGTCAACTGACTTGGGCTTGTGGGGCTCAGAATAGCAGCGTAGATGTTTTCAATTGGGCTGAAGCCCAGGCTTTGAGACCCTGCCCTCTCACTGGGTCTCAGAGCCCAGTCAGTTGACTCAGGCTCGCTGCCGTGGGATTTCTTCTACGGAGTATTTGTACCCCTAAAGTAGAATTATTATTTTAAGAACCTTTGTAATTTTTGGCTGTTCAGCCTCTCACAAAGCACTGACAGGTGGTACATGCAGTTCATGCTGGTGGTTATTTATGTTGTGGTAATGGTAAACTCCAAAGGCCCAAATCAGAAGCAGAGCCTCATTGAGCTCAGCCCAGTGTAAACACGACTGTCCCTACTGCAAGGAGTTAACAATCTAATTTAAGAAGCAACACAACAAGTGTGACAAATTGCACAAGGGAAGGAAAAACTGAGGGTGAGGGAACAGAATGGGAACATGCTAACATGAAGAACTCAAACATTCCCAACCAGTTTTAAAAAATGTTATATGTATTTTGATATGTGCAAATAATAAACAAATAAAAACTAACTAAATAAATACCAGCAATCTTCAATCGCTTAGCCCTCAACCTAGCGGTTATCAGTTACATTTATAAATCCGATATTAACCTCCAGCTACACCAATGCAAAGGTGCCATGAGGAGATGGTAGACAAGACCCACTACGACAAACCTCTGAGAAGTTACTCGTGTTATCAATGTGTTTCCTCGTAGAATTACAATCACTCCCTTTACTGAAACACACTTAATCGCAACAATGACCCACCTACCTTAAATAACGGTGGTGGAAACAATCTCTGCTCCAGCCGTGTAACCGTACCTTCCATAACTTTTATTTAATAGTTTGTGATAATGATGTGATGATCTGAACCAGATGAAACCCATTATTTTGTAAACGATGTTCTCCTGCTCCTCATATTATTCAATTGTTTAAAAAACAACATATGGCACCATGAATCAAACAGTCAAATTTTCTCTGAGAACACTGTGAACCAACCTAAGAAATCTAAGTCTGTACTTTCTGAACTTGGAAAGCAGCAGTGTATGCAAATTGTGGAATTTGCATTATGAAGCAGAAAAGCCACAATGTTTATTCTATATTTTTATATTATATATTTGATATGCAAATGGACCAGATATGCTCTTAGGATAACAGTCTTCAAGTTACTGGATAGATGCATGTGAAAACAAAAATACAACTTCGAAAGAAATAGTAAAGACTCATGTATATTTAATGAAATATTTGCAAAGGTCATTTTTATCGTTTGAAACAGTTCATATTTCTAAAAATCAAATAGACTAAACCAAGCAGAATAAGGCACTACAGATAGAAAATTAACTAGAGATCTAAAGGCAACTCCAGATCCATCTCAAAGCAGGTCAGGAATCCAGGTGTCAGTATTTGAATAAACCCCTTTCTTAGAGGATGTGGCACCTTTAATAGACAAAAAATGGGAACTGAGATAACCAGGTAATTCAGTCCTGTCCCTGGGTTGCAGTGGTCGAAATGGCAGTATTCTCCCCCCAAAATGGAAAAGATGTAACAAATGGCTTGAAGAAAAAAAGGTACCCACCTTTTTAGTTGCTAAATTAGCCTACAACTTGTGTCAGACATGGGATGTAGTATCTATTACATAATACTTTATTAAAAGATTAAAAAGCAGATTGTTACCCTCAGCAAAAATACAAAGAACTCGTGAATGACATGTATGAGACAACAATCTAACTATGTACTTATATGCTACCATCACCGTACCATTAATCTGTGGGTCAGAGTTCAGATACTTGGGATGTGATCAAATAAGTATTCCTAGTACAAGACTGATTTTGACCTTCGCTTTTCACTTCCTTGCTTTTAAGTGCTTGGGTTTGTTAAAATGATGTGATAAGCAAGTACAATGTTGTCACTATGTTTAAAAAGAGTTAAGTTAGTTCCATTTTTTGGCTTTGGATAGAATATAATCTGAATTGTAAACACTCTGGTCCAACAAATCATGTCTTGCAAGCTTTCAATGTATTACTGAACTTTTTATAAAGATCACAATGTCCTTTGAGATGGTTTTAAAAACAAGCATAAGACATTTTATTGTTACCATTACACTGTGTTTGTTGATTTGTTATTGTTGAGAGACTTCATGTGTGCAAATGCTGTAGTCAATGAAGAGCATTTCCATATTTTCCAAGACATCCTGAGAGGATCACAGACTACATACCTTGTTAAATGAGTATGGGCTGCAAGGGGAGCAATTAAGCCTTCAAACTAATTAGGAAACCATAATTTTCAAATGTAGACCCTGGAAACTCTGACCATCCAATCTACTGATGCAGTGTCCTGGAGCTCATTTGTGTTATCTTTCTGGTCCTCAGCCAGAGAGGGCCAGGGGGAAGGGAGAACACACCATACCAAACCAATCAGTTACACAGAAATAATCCTCCAATTCCACCCATGTGTTCTGAATCAAGAACCCATGGTTATTTCTTTAAATATCAGCTTCAGTTTTGGTTCAACTGCTGACTTCTTGGAGCATGGTAGGAGTCAAAAGTGTCTTGAAATATCTCAGGTGTTGTAAGGCTATTTTTCTCCTCATCCCATATAAAAATGCAAAAGCCCTCACAATACAGAAGG